ATTATGTTGAGCGGTAAAAATAATTTTTGTCCTGTTTAATTTTTTGTTCTTTCATTTTTCTGTAATAGCTAATAGTTGTAAAACGTTGTGATAGGATTGAATGAAAAATTTATTGTCCGCCAAGGAAGAATGAAAAATTTATTGCCCGCCAAGGAAAAATGAAAAATTATATGAAGTAAAAACTTTTGGAAAAACATTAAAATGATGGTAATTTCACTAATTTGAAAAAAAAATCTCCTTTTTTGCTTTGATTAAAAACAAAAATTCCCTTTTGCTTTATCTCTTCTTCCTCCTTCGCTCTTCTCCTCCGCCGCACATTCCTTCGCTCTTCTCCTCCGCCGCACATTCATCTTCTTCTACCGATCTCCCTCCTCCAATCCCGTTTCCTCCGATCCTTCTCGCTGCTCGCTTCGCGCCTACCTTTGTGGACTCGCCTTGGAGAAACGGGTCAGATCCTCCGCCCGAGTCTGTGCCCGCCATGGATTATCCGTTCTCGTCACCGGAACCCCCGGTTTTATGGGCACCCATGTTTTGGCCACCTTCAAGCGATATGGAGACGGCGTTCTGAGACTGGACGACTTCAACGATTAAGAGAGCCAGGCAAACCCTTCTATTGCGCCGATGAAGGAGTTAAGGAGATGGTATATTTCATCTGCTCTGATATTGTGATCCTCTTACCTTGATTCAAGGAGATGGTACACTCTCTCTCACAATCTTGTAGTCATGTTCATCGTTTTTCTTATGAAATTTGAGGTAATGCTTGAAGAGATGTTTCCATTGTCGCATTTACCTGCAATGTTCATCGTTCGGTCTCGGTTTAGGCTTGAATAAGAAATTTGGAGTTTGATTTCGTAGACTCAGATTCATGTATAGGTTGAGTTCCAGTAGCTATGGGTTCATAATTTAGTTGTTTTTGTACCTCCATTGTTTCGTTCTTATTGGTTGAAGAACTCAATCTCTTGTGTTGATAACTTGAGTGTTTCAGGGAAGTCTCACTTTCACCCATTGATNATGCATAGAGCGATGGAGATGGAAGTCTCATAAAGATCTAAGTGCTTTGCATTTTTGTCCAGAGATTCAAGCTCATCAAGGATCGTGTCTTACTCTCTGGTTCCCTTGCAAGATCCGTATATGGAACATATCAAACCGTCAAGTAGTGGAGAATTATCTTCATTCTCTATCGAATTATTTAGTGTGATGTTCTT